AGAGGGAGCCAGACCGTGAGGTGCCCCCAGGCACGTACGGCCAGCTGATGGATGACAGAGGATCACCCAAAGTCAGCGCAGAGCCCTCCCATACAAACTTCCATACAAAAGCACAATTCATTAATAAATATATGCATTGATAAACCCACCTTCAAAAGTGGAAACTTTTGCTCTGTGAAAGACACTAGCGAGCAAATGAGCAGAAGACCCTGGACAGACTGGAAGAAGGTGTTTGCAAAGCAGGGACTACACGGGACTCACATCTGCATACGTGAGGGTACAAGTTGAATACATAAAGCACTTCTGAGCCCAACAGTAAAGAAGAGCCTAGTAAGAAACACGGACAAAAGACCTAAGCAGGCACCTCATCTAGGAGACGTGCCGATGGCAAGTAAGTGCATGGGAAGATGCTCTGTGCCATCAGTCATGAGGAAATGAGGAAGAAACCCAGCGGAAGGGCCAGCAAGTACCCATCAGAATGACTCAAACTTTCGAAAGCTGACAGTATCGAGTGCTGGCAATCTCAGGGCCAAGAACCACAGCTGGTTGGAACGCAAGACAGTGTAGCTGGGCACTTTGTTACCAAGTCAAACATGTGCTTACCATACGACCCAGATACTTTCTCAAGTTAAATAAAAATCTACATTCACACAGAAATCTGTAAGACAAATACATGCCTACAGCGGCTCTGTCATTGCCAAAAACTGGAAGTGATCCAGATATCCCTCAACTGGCCAAAGGATGAGCAGACTGTGATCCATGGACTCAGCAAAACAACGCTCTTGACCTGCACAAAACCAGCACAAGTCTCGGGTGCCCTTGGAAGTGAGAGAGGCTGGACTCAAAGGTTACATGCTGTAGGCCTCCACTGGTTCTGGAAAATGCTGAGCTGCAGACACTTCAGCAGTTGCCAGGGGCTACGGGGGCGGGATGGTCTGGCCAGCAAGGGCAGGAGGGAGGGGAAGGCAGCTCAACAGATCTGGATCTCAGGGACGGTAGACAACTGGACACCTCTATCAGAACCCACGCAGTTGCACACCACAGAGCACACGTTTAGGGTATTAAAATTCAAAGAAGAACTTTAATGGGAGAGGGGAGTGGTCCCGGTTCTCTCTTCCCAGATGTGTCCGCTCGTTCCAAAATTGACACACAACGTAACTTTCATCTTTACTAAAGACCAAAGCCTTAGCCTGGACCCTCGTGTGACCCCCACAGAGCCAGTGTCCAGGGAAGGTGCCAGGCCACCAGGAGGGAAGGAGCACCCAGCTCAGCAGGGTGGTGTCCATATCCACAAATTAGCACAAGAACAACTGTAGAGAAGCTGATGTTGACGCGGGTTTGGGAAAACAGCACTACTCACGCATGGTAGGAGAACCATAAACTCATTCCGTCTTTGGGAGTAAAGTGGCAATACGGCTCTAGAGCCCTGAAAACAAGCCACACTCTGACCCCAGCGCGCACACCCTGATTGCGTGCATGCTTTTCCTTCTTCAAATCATTTCCTTGGCATAAAGGTGTTTTCTGAAGAAAACAAAGAAACTGAAAACCATCAAACACAAAACAATACAAATAAAGTAAAAACTGTGACATCACATGGTTTTATGGCCACACACACCATAAAAATGCTACTGAGGAGAACACAGAATAGGGTGCGCTGGATGCCACCAAAACAGACACTTTAAAATGGCCAAAATGGTAAATTTTATGCTGTCTAGATTTTACACAAAAGATACTAGGAAGGAAAATCAAACTAAAAATGCACGTATGCCACCACCACCCACATCCACATGTGTGTGCATGCTGAAGAAGGTCCCAGAGAAACGTAGCTGGGTACACGGATGAAGGGGGACGGGCACTTTCCTTACAGCCTCTAAAGGGCATCCCTACAAGGACCAACGATTCTACCGCTCCACGAGCTTCGGCAAGATCCCACCATGGAGAAGCTTCGGGCTATGCTTGGCCAGCGGATAAGGACTATTCTCCCCCTCACAACTGGACCTGAGAACAACGACCTTCTTAAACTGCACTCACCGAGGCCTGAGGGCTGGCAGCTGGGCTTGGCCTGCCCGGACAGCACCCCGAGAGCTGGGCCATCCCCACTGGTCTGTGCCGGCCTAGCGACACCCTTCTGGGGCTTTATCGGGGGCCCCACACACACGCTTCCTGCTTGTCACACATGATGAGAAGTCTCCCTCCCCAGGCTTCCTGTCCACTCAGGCCGGCCTCATGGGGGGGGTGGGGGTGCTGCCTGGGACTCTGCCCTCCCCTGGACCACAGGCTCCTGGGGCCCAAGACCCAGGGCTCCGCCACACCCCAAGCCAAAGAGCCCCCCTGCTCCCCTATTACAAACACTCTGCGGCAGCTAGCGGGGCAAGCCAGCATGGCGGCAGAGGGGACGCCCGTGGCTTTCAGGGACTTTATATTCTGGGGGGGCTCAGATCTGTCTGTTACAGGGATAATCCGTAGTCTGGCTGCTGGGCGCATGCTTCTATCAGTGCCCGCCATCCACTTCAGAGCACTCCTGCGCGGACAGATACTCCGCGGCTGGCGAGGCCTCTCACAAGAACAGAGCTATACCCTACGGCCAAGGCTTTTTTTTTTTTTTTTTAAGATTTTATGTATTTATTTGAGAGAGAGAGAGGAGAGAGCATGAGTGGGGAGCAGCAGGCAGAGGGAGAAGCAGGCTCCCCGTGGAGCAGGGAGCCCGACGTGGGACTCAATTCCAGGACCCTGGGATCATGACCTGAGCCGAAGGCAGACGCTTTACTGACTGAGCCACCCAGGCGCCCCCACAGCCAAGTCTTGTAACCTGCTTTCCTACTCACCACTGGATTTCCGTCGTGGGTAGGCCTACCTAAAGCCGCCCTACCCGCCCCTGAGAAAGTGGCTATTTGCGGTTGATCGTGTCCCCTGAAAGTTCACGTGTTGGGTTCCCAACCTCAGGACCTCAGACTCTGAGCTTACTGGTGACGAGTCTTTGCCGATGTAATCAAGTTATAATGAGATCATTGTGGGGGGGGGCCCTAACGCAATGTGACACAGCCTCCTGTTAAGGAAGGAGGCCACGTGAGGATGAAGGCAGAGGTCAGCACCAAGGTCCTACGAGCCAAGGAACACCAAAGGCTGATGGCAAACCATCAAACGCTTGAGTGTGGACTGCAGCCTGCAGAGCCCCCTCCCTGCCCATCTGCTCCTACCGTCCCCATTCACTCAGGGGTCCAGACGAAGCCCCAGGAGTCACGCTTCCTGCTTCTTTCCTCACTCCACCAGCAAGCCCTGAACACCCTACCAAAATGAATGGTCCGAGCTGGCCATGTTGCTCCCCCTCCGTTAACCCTAGATGCTTGACTAACTGCAGCCATTGCCACAGGTCCCCTGGGGGCAAAATGTCCCTGGTTGAGAAGCTCTACTTGGGTCTCACTCTGCTGCCTCAGCCGTCAAGTGGGTTCCCCGACTCCAGCCACCCCCATCAGGCCCACCCCTGAGACACGTCACCTGGAGGGCATCACTTGTAAGCAAACCACGGGAAGTAACTGGGGCCCTGACAGAGTGAGGGTTTGAGACGGGGGAGGATGGACTGTCCCCTGCCTGATTCTCCCAGCACGCAGGAAACAGCACATCCCACAAGTCCCCTGTGGAATGCCTCTCCTCAACCATGGCCTCAAACGCAACCAAAGGAAAACGGATGAAGGCTACGTGACCATCTTCACCTATCCTCTGAACAAAAACAGCTTTTCAAATTAACACAGCCAAAGCTGGCTAGTGTGGGCAAACCACCAACCAAACCCCGTGGTGGTAGTGTACAAGGACGCGAACAAGATCACTTCCACCCGGTATTGCCATTGGGAGTTTCAGTAATCCCGTGTCTGAAGACAGACAATGCCACACACAGGAAAAGAGTCTACATGGGAACGTGTTAGCGTGGCATTATTTTTAACGTTAAACAAAGCTGGAAACAACTCAACTACCCAATTGCAAGGGAAACGTGGAGAAAGTATCAGCACGTCTACTCAACCCAGCACTGCGCACCCACCTGAGTGAGGTCTGTGAAGAACGCAGAGCAAATGAAAAATGCACGGAGGGGACCGCATATGACTGTGACCCCTTCTATCTCTGAACTTTCCAAACTTGCTTTAAAAGCCATGCACTCATACTTGAAAATGTTTTTTTTAATGGATTGTTTTAAAGGAAAGAAATTCACCCCTTTGGGTTGGAGCTCTGTGTCCACAGGAGGCCCCCACTGAAAGTGAAACACTAATGGGCGGGGACTCAGAGGGACTCAGATCTGAGCCTGACCCAGGGTTCCATTCACCCTTGAGACCAGGACAGGAACAGTGAAGTTGTGAGCAAGGGGCCCAGAAGAGGAGTCTTAGGTGCCGCCCAGAGAGTGTTCAGGGTCGGGAGCGGGAGGCAGGAAGGAAGGAGCCCACCACGGAGGGACAGGTTGCCAAGGGGCTCAGGGACCCCTCCTGCTCTGAGCCTGTCCTCCCACCGATGAGCCAGGAAGGGGTGAGGGACATCATTCACAGAGGAATGAGCTGGGGGGGTCAACTCAGAAGAGACGTGTGGATGGACGTGTGCTTTCCCACGCTGCACGAGTCTGAGAGGCGTTCTTCTCTGCCTATGCCCACCTCCTCCCAGAGGCGCAGATTACTGCGGAATCTGGTCTCAGACGCCCCACGTCACATGCCTATCCCGCCTATGTTCTTCCATCCCAAATGCCAGTGGCACCTGTAACTACACCCGGTCCCCATCTCTGTCCCGAGTTGGAAACTGTCAGTGGGCCCCAGAAGCTATCTTCACAGTCAACTCTTCCCCGAGCTCTGCAAGTGGTAGAGCCTGTACCAGCGGGGGTCTGTGGTTCCAGGTCGGAGCCCTGGAACGGGTGAGGCAAGGTCAGGCCCCACGGAGGCCTGCTCTCCCCACACTCCCTGCAAGAGCCAGCACGACACAGGGCCCAGGTGTGCCGCAGGGGAGGGCAGGGGGTGGTCGTCACTGACCTTCTCCAGCTTCTCGAAGTGCTCCCGCAGGAACTTCATGGGCCTGTCGGGCTTGGAGATGCACAGGTGCACGATGCAGTCCTTGAGGACCTGCTGAACGCCATGCTTCTGAACGTAGAGCTCACACCCCTTCAGACTCTCATCCTCCTCCGCCTGGTAGGACGACGGGGACGCCATGGTGACCCCGCTTCTGGCTGCCTGGTAGGGGAAATGCACATCACAGGTTGCTGGGGACGGAAGCCTGGGGCGGCACCGCACAGGGCCCCAGAAGGTGTCATTGTAGTCCCATCCAGTGACTGATGGGACACGGTCTCAGGGTCCATGCTTACAGGCCTTTCCTTCTGAAGGGCTGGATGAGCCGTTAACATGACAGCCACAAAGCCTTACCTTACAGATCTTTGCGGGCATGGAGGAGACTCAAACAGACTTGTACATGGCTGAGCAAACCCTCCCCTCTGAGAAATCTGAAGGGGGGGGAGTGGGGGCCCCGGGGGGCCTGAGTGGCCAGCCCAGCACTTACTGGTCTCATTTGCCACCATCCCTCCTGCCTTTTTAGGGACAATTGTGTGAACCAGGGATATGGGGAGGTGCTGCTACAGGGTTGGGGTAGCCTGCTGGGCAGGAACAGAAAGAAAACAAGGCAAACAGTTGAATCCCAGCTGAGGGGCCTTCGGGAAGGATGTTACATGGAGAACAATGGCAGGGCCGCACGTTCTCAGCCCGGCGTTCTCGGCCCAGCGCTCCGGGCTAAGTCACAATGACGGCTCAGGAACCGGGAGCCACGCAGCCGCTCCGCTGCTGGGACCCAGACCCGGGTTCTCGGCCGCCAGGAAGGCCCCAAGGCCGCGCCCCCTCCCCAGGCCCCGTGCCCGCGGTCCCTGCGCCGCCTCCCCAGGGCCCGCGCCGCTGGTCCTTGCGCCCCCAGCCCCCTCTTGCGGCCCCGCGCCCCCAGCCCCCGCGCCCCTTCCCCAGGCCGCGGCGCCTCCGGAGCCTGAGCCCCCCGGCCTCTGCGCCTCTCCACGACTGCGCCGCGGGCACAGGTTCGGCCAAGGGGGCGGGAGCTCCCCAAAGGCCCACATTTCCCGGGGCCTCCGGGCCGGCCGAGCTCAGCCCCTCACCCGCGCAGGCCAGGGAGCCCGACGCAGACCCCATCCCAGCCCGGCGTACCTGGATGCGCCGCGCCCGAAGCCCGAGGCGGCTGCGCGGGGACGCGGCGGGGACGGCCGGCGAGCGGGTCCCGCACTGCAGCGGCGCCGCCCTCCGCCCGCCCCCGCGCCGCGCCGACCCACCCCCACCCCCGCGCCCGGCCTGTCCCCCTCCCCGCCCGCCCCCCGCATCGGGCCTCCCCACCCCCCCCTCCCCCCCCCCACCCCCCCCCCCCCCCGACAGACCTCTCCCCACCTCACCTCTAGCTTACCCCTGTGCCCCCTCCTCCTCCCTTCCCCCCACCCCAACGACCCCACGCACCTGAAGGAAGCCACAGATTTTCATGCACAGGCAGCCAGGACAACCACCATTGCCCTCCACCACCCACTCCTCACACCTCAACCCCCCCCCCCCCCCCCCCCCACCGCCACTGAAGACCATGTGACGGTGCATCTCAGGGTGATGTCCAGGACCCCCCACTGCTCACCCCAGGCAGGTTCATCTACACGTCTGCAGGCCCCCACTCTCCAGCTCAGGGCCAGAAGAGGTGGCCAGAGGGCCCCAGGCCACCCCAGGGAGAGGTGAGCTGATTTCCTTTTCTTAGTTAAGGGCACCAGCTTCATCCCAATGCCCCAGTGGGAAATCAGTGGGTCATGCTGAATTCTTCCCACCCTCCTCCAGCGTCCATGAGGTCCCTGAGGCCTGCGGAGTCCCTGGGGTGACTTCCTAATCTATAAGCCCAGACCTGCAGAAAGGAGGACTGCCCTTCTGTCCCTGTTGCCCAGCGTCATGCTTTGCCCCCCTTCTGGCAGGGGGTGGCAGAAACTTCATCTCAATCAGTTGGCGGTCCCCGCCCTTTCCATAGAGTGGTCTAAGCACCAGGAGAGGGGCTAGGGAGCTCAGGCCTTGAAGGGGAAGGTTTCTGCTGACCTCTCCCACACTCCCCTGTCCCATACTCACCTGTCCACAAAAGCAGGCTGAGCACAGCGTGGCCGGCCTCCGCCGGCATGCCCCTGCAGCAGGGCTAACACTGCCCGAATCCCTCCAGCCTGTGTGAAGGGAGAGGAACAGGTCACACTCAGGTAGACAATCTGGGAACTCCTTTCTGCCTCCCCAGCCCTTGCCCTCAATGTGGGGGGAGGTCGTCAGCAGGGAAGCCAACTGGACAATCAGTAGCCAGCGCCCTTACGTGAGGATGGTAGGAATGTCCCTCACAGAGCTGGTTGTAAAAGCACGGGCACCACCGGGCTGGCATTCACAGGTCGCCTCCCCACTGGATAGTGACAAACCCTGGCTTTTGTAGGGTGTCCAAGCAGCCACATCCTTCCACCAAAAACATACCACTGGTATCAGGTTACCCAGTAAATTGTGCTTGTCTGAGAATGTTCCCTCCGCCCGCAGGGAAGGACCACCCTATGTGCTCAGCCCTCCTGTGTTCCCCAGCAGAAGGTATTCACATTCCCCAGCTCCGGGGGGCTTTATTTCACCCCTAGAACCTGGGCAACCAAGCCTTGCAAAGACCCAACTTCAAAGCCACATTCTTTCCCAACCACTACCCACCCCCAGACTCCTGCCTCTGCCCGCTCCAGTTTACCCACCAAGATTCAACTTGAGTGTTCTTTCTGCAGGAAGACTTCCCTGGGGCACCGCACCTCCAGACGGGGTGGGGCTCCCTGGACTTTGTAGCTCTCGCGGCAAGTGCCACACAAGAACTACGTGAGTCTGTTGGCTTGATGCTGAGAGCAGTGCATGGGCATGGGCACTGTTCGCTGTATTCTTTATTCAGTCTGCATGGCACGGAGACTAAACACAAACATTCTCTGCGATGCAGAAAGGAAGACTACTCGTCCAACCCGGGTCTCTGGAGAGGTGGCAGAGTATCGTGGTCTGAGATGGGCCTGGCAGGGGACCACTCCGTGCGCACGGTGCCTTGGGCAGCGTGCAGAAGCCCTGAGGGTTCAGAGGGTGGAGGAGGTGGCTGACTGCTGTTTACCAAGGGCTCGCTCTGGAATGACACCTGGGTGCCAGAACCTTCCTGGAGGAGACCCTCCCATCTCAAACAGGCGGATGCTACTCAAGTGCAGCTTTTACCTGAGGCTAGAGGTACAGGGAGGAGCACGCAGCAGGGATCCAGTGACCATGAACACCAGGGGTTATTATTCTCAGGGCCACAGCCGTTCCTCAGGGAGAGAGCTAAGTCCCGTCCCCAGTACACAGGGGCAAGGGCCCTGGAGGGATGCAGGAAACGGGGCCACAGGGGAAGAGAGAGGAGAGCTACGGAGGAAGAGAAGGCAAGGGAGAGGCGGAAACCACCCCGCAAGCTCCATGCCTCCGAAGAAACTGCTATCGGTGAGAAATTCCGTGGGGAGGAGGCAGCAGGAGACGTTATAAGAAAACAGTGCTCATTTTCAGCTTTCACATTGCTTACCAGGTGAGCAATGTAAATTTGATGTAAAATGAGATGTAAAATTTCACACCAGTATCGCCACCGTATGTCAGCGAACTCTTGATCATGCACGCTCCCTGGTGTGGCCTTGGGGTGTGGCCCCCGGCAGTGGTCACCCAATAGCATGCACGGAAGCAGACACCCCGTGGAGCCTCGGGGGAGAACCCAGTGCTGCCTCGAGTGTAGCCGCCAGAGAACCCAGACTTCCGATCCGCAGACATGCGAGATCATCAGTGTGTGTTGTTTTAAGCCAAGTTCGTGGTGACCGGCATGCAGCCTGTCACGGGGGGAATCCAGGAAAGAGCCCAGCCCTGTGTCTGGGTTGGTGCTGGACGAGGCGGAAACCACTGCAGGAATGCTATAGGCTGAATGCTTGTGTCACCCCAAAACTCCTGCTTAAATCCTAACCCCGTGTGGGGTGCTAGGAGGGGCTTTGGGGTGAGTCAGTCATGGGTGGGGCCTTCTGGATGGGATCAGTGCCCTCATGACTGAGACCCCAGAGCGCGCCCTCGCCTCTGCTGCGGCGCGTGGACATCACAAGAGGGCCTTCGTCTCGGACACGGCCTCCAGAGCGGGGAGAAAGAAATGTCTGTTGTTCATAAGCCGCCCAGCGTGTGGTGTCTCTGTCACAGCAGCCTAGACAGACTCAGACAGGAAGAGGCGTGAATACTCAGAAAAGCCATATATGAAAATACATTATAGAGATAAAGGAATTAAAATATTATGAATCTGGCAAAGGAACGAACAAACATTAAGGGATCAGAACAAAGAGCCCAGAAATAAACCTAAACCAATATTTACAGGGATTTTGTATGTGATAAAGGCGGCACTGCATATTTGTGGGGATAATAATAATTCAATAATTAGTTTGGGGAGAATAAAGTCACCTGTGCCTCTGGACTTAAATATAAAAGCAATGGAAGAAGCATTGGGAAATGTCTCATGATCTCGGGACGCAGGAGGCCTTTCTAGTCCTACTACGACATCAAGGAGCCATGAATGTAAAAACCACATACTCTATAAAAATGAAAACTTTGTGCATAAAAACCCTCACACGTTCAAAATAAAAACAAAACAAGAAGTATATTTGCCACACCTATCACAAAGGGCTGATTTCCTTAGAGGAAGACGACACCCAGCTACACTCAAACTAAGAACAGTGCAAATTCAAAGTCCGTGGAGGTGCCCTGTGCTTCCTGGGAGGCTGGCCCCAGTCTGTGCGGATAGGGTGCAGGAAACGGGCCTCGCAAACACGGCTCCAGCAGAGCCTCTTTGGACTCCCATGCAGAGGACCTCGAGCCCAGATTCAAACGCACACATCCCAGCAACTCCACGTCGCTGGGTTTATCGACAACATGATAAAAAATCAATACTGTCGCGACTATCCTTCCTCACACATTTTTCTGCTCACGGGTAAATGTATCTACCTGCCCAGGTGCACAGAAACACATGAAATAACAAAAGTGGGAGGAAAAACTAAGTATCCATCAACAAGGGCCTGATGTGACACCCAGCGGCACATTCGGACAGTGGAGTGTCACCCAATTATTCAAAAGGACACGGCAGCTCTGAGGCAACGCTAACC